CTTATTAGCCTCTTCCTCAGGCTGAGGGATACAGCTTATTAAATTAACACTGGTGTCAGATCAGTAACCAGTATCAGCAGATGCCTAAAGACCTGTATTGAAATAGGAAAAAGGTTAAAAACATTATGGAGGTACAGTGAGACCTAGAGACCTCCAGAAATGTGAATTTTCCCTCAAACCAAACTTACATCTTTTGCTAACATGGTGTGAAACTCTGTGAAGAAAACCTGACTTTGCACCTTTCTAGATGATGTACAGCTTGCAGTGTTTCCACTCTAAAAGATGGAAAAATAAACATCAGCGAGGTGTAAACGTGGGTCGTCACATACAGCATGGAAGGACAGTAAGAGGGAAATATTACAAGAAAGCAACACTGCTGAGAGAGAAGCAGTTACGTAACAGCGTGTCAGCGCGCCGCTCCGCAACCGCCTCGCAGACGACAGGAGGGCTGCCAATGTGTGTGTTTGGTTCTCAGAAATATGAAAGGATGCAGTCAGCTCCCTGTCTCCATGGTAACTGCATCTTCCTCCTCATCTGTCTGTACTGCTCACTTTCTTTCCCCGCTATTGTTTTTCATTATTTTTACATTTTCATCATTTCTATTTTTTCATTATGTCGCCTCGCTCTCTCTGCCTGTCTGAGAGACCCACTCAGCCTTGTGTCATAACAAGCACACACAGGTGCTCAGGTGCACAAGCCGTTACATAAACACGCACATATTTATCTTTATGCTTGCATGGCTTGTTGCTTTGATGAAGATGTGTGACATCTGCTGTACCAGACACATATTTAGCTGCTCATTCCACGAATTGCATGTTTTCATAATTTGCCTCCATGTGTGCAGAAATGGAGAAACAAGTCTTACCAGAAAAGTCCACTTTAATTTTTACCTTTAGCATGACTACATTAGCAGCAACAGTAACATATGTAAAGTGGAGTTACTTTTGACTACTGCATATCCAGTTCATTGGCTCCTATCCAAGTGATCATTTTTAGAGGTTATGAAATTCAATCAGTCAATCAAATGTTTATTTCGAACATATAAGCAACAGGTCTTAGTAACCATAAAACCAAACCAAAAACAAAAAATAAATAAACATAAATCACTGAAAGCATATTTACATGAACAAAAAAAACAAATGTTGATGATTTCCTGTTGGAAAAGGAGTCAGAAGAACCAAATGTTTATTCATTCTTGCCTCCCGATCTTCACTGTGGGTTGCAGTGGGTAGGGATATCTGGGTACTGTCACATCTATGTGTTGGTGTTTGGGCTCTAATTTGGGTGGTTGATGGGTGTAGGAGTTTCCTCACTGAGTGAACCACTATACTGCCTGTTTGTATTTGTTGTTGGGTTTTTGTTTTTTTCTTCTCTGGCCTTGCTCGAGTGTTTTGTTTCTGGATGTCTTTTGCCTTTTTAGGTAGAAGAGATGGTAGTCGGGGTTGCTTGTGCCATAATGCTAAACAACATTCACACAGGATTCATGTTAGCTGAATTTGGTAGCTAGAGCAATGGGGTATGTTGCTTAGTTTTCTTAATTAGTCTTATTTGTATTACATAAACAATGAAATTACATTATTCTGTTTTGTAAAAAAAATCAAAAATCCAAATTGCAGACTGTTAATGTTTACAATGTGTATATTTAATTAGTTTTTACTTTATTTGATGGAACTTTATTTTTTGTCATTCTAACATCATACTTTAATCATGCAGCACATTTTGGTTGAATCGTGTATGAAGCTTAAGAGAAATGTTTGGCAACTGTTTCCGATGATCATTTCACGGTTTCTTATAGTACTGCAATAGTAGCAACAGCAGTTCAGATATTCATTTTCACCTGTCACGCATGAGCATACATAAGTGCAGCTGTCTGCTGTTGTTGCCATATGTTGTTTTTATGCATTTGTTTACTGGTATCTACTGCATAGATAAGTGGAAAGGTGCACATGGGTTCACTAAGCTGTGGGTGTCTGATATGAGTCACGATTGTGGAAAATCCCTCTCTCCTCCTTCCCTGCAACCTGAGGCGATTAGCAAGCAAGCAGTGTCACTCTGCAGCAAGTCCCTCTCCTACAGTGACAAGCAGAGCAGAACAAAGATCTATATATAAGCAAGGCAATATCTATAACTCACTGAGCGTCAGTGTGATTGCAGTCAGATGGAGGTCACAGCATTTGTGATGAGTCTGCTGTCTTTGCTGTGCAGACTTCATTCGCTCCACTATGTCTTTGTTATTACAGACAGGGCTGTAGTTGTGTAACGTTAAGTCCTGCTTTTTTTGTTCAGTCTGAACTCTACAAGAGGAGATTTTTAGAGGAAATAATCACATTTTGGTTAAGTGAAGAAAAACTGTTACTGCTTGTTTTAAAAGAGATGAATTACTTGAGGTTACTTTGTGTCGTTTGTTGGTGGTCTGTGGACTCTTTGTGGTTAATTATGCTTGTCTTTAGGATCATTTCAGTAATTAAGTGCGTCTTTGTGTTTGTTTTGTCTCTTAAGTGTTTAATTTCCTTACTTCACAGGGGTGTCTGATATATGGATATTTCCCTTTCCTTGTTACTCATTTCTTTTTTCTTCTGTGTCTCTTCAGGGTTGTTCTGCTTGTGGTGGGGATTATTTTGGTAATTTCAGTCGTCTTTGTGGCCATTTACTGGTGGCTTTTGATCCTTTTTGATTGTTTTGAGTGGTTTGCGTTGTCTTTGAATGGTTGGTTTCTGGTTGTTTGTATCTCTTGTCTCTGATTATTTTGCTTGTCTTTAGGGCCGTTCTGGTAACTTTGTGTTTCTATGAGGCTGTTTTTACCCCCCCACCCCCTATTTTTTTTAAGTTTGTGTCTCTTTGTGGCTGTTTTCCTTCTCGTTTGGTTTATTTCTGTAATTTTGTGTCTTTGTGGTCACTTTGTGGCTGCTTTGGGTCTCTGTAAGCTTTTGTCTTTTTGTGGCCCTGTTGTTCTTTTTTGTCTCTTTATGATTGTTTCCTCATCATTTTGGTGTCACTTAGATTACTAAGGGTGTTTTTCTCGCTCATTTTTTGGGTCTCTTTGTAGTTAATTTTGGGTCTTTGTGGGTCTGTGTATCTTTAAGGTCATTCTGTGGGTGTTTATTGTTATGTTAGATTGGAGCTATTTGGTAATTTGGGGTCTCTTTGGTGAGTTTGTGGTGATTTGGGTTCTTTGTTATTATTTTACACTGTTTAACTGAGCTCTGGTTCTCATTTTGAAGATCACATACTGAAGTGACTTCATAGAGAAGCCAGGAGGCTTTTTGGTGTTCAAACTCCCAGAACTGTGATGGTGGGATTGTAAATGAATCCATTATCATCCATCACATTCGTGAAGAGTACCACTCATAATTGAGCAATCTTTTTTTTTTTTTTTTTT